CATGGTATTGATTTTGCTTTTAAACATGGTTGACCATGGTCAAACCATGGTTGTTCTTTTACATAGCAAGACACTAACTGACCATGGTTGACCATGGTTAAACTTGTGCAATTTAACGTTCATGGTTGACCATGGTCAAAACATGGTCACATCATGGACAAACCATGGTCAACCATATTTGCTTGACCATGTTCTAACATGTTTTAATCATGTTTGACCATGGTTTGACCATGGTCCTGACGCAGGGGTACGATTTCGTGACGGTTTCGTGTCTTCGACGGGTTCTCGTATAGGCACTCGGAGCTTCATCGTTTCTGCACACTTGGCTAATGTTTCGAATGGAGCGTGAATCAAAGTGTAGGTTAGCTGGGGTCCCCGGAAAAAGAAAACGGTAAGCATAAAAAGAATAAGTATTTTTCTTCGCTTCAACAGATTAAGAAAGCTACTCAGCAGTATAAAGATGCCCATCGCCATCACTGTGTAAGCGGACCAACGAAAATTCGTTTCATTTGTTGTTCGCGTCTCTCCTTTGCCTCGAGGGTTTTTCTCCGGGTTCTTCAGTTATAATGAAACCACACAATACAATTGGTGAAAAAATCCAGTCTAATCTACAAATTAGTTTGCAATTATTAATCACGTTACCATGGTTTTTTTCTCTTCCTCATCGTCCTCCATTTGTAATTGGTTGTGAAACCCTGTCGCCTCTTCCACCCTTTTAGTAAACACATTTTTTAAACGTTTGGTAGCTTTGCCCAACATTTCTAGAAGACCAATCCCAAGTGCTTTGATGTTTCTTTCTTTCGCTGCCTTATGAATGGAGCCTCCAGGACTCTCTACATATCCCGCCCACTCTTGCTGGAAAAACAAAGCAGAAAAAATAATTGTTTATGTGTTGTGGTTATTTTACGAAATAAAGTTTAGTTTTGAAGCAGGATTTCCTGTGTGTTCTAACAACGCATCCTTCGAGGGACGTTATTTGCTAAACCGTTTTTATGTCGTTGTAACCATTTCATTTTATTACTCTTGTATATATTGATATAATTATAATATAATATATAATATGATTTACCAATAATATATTTAGTTTTTAACGCTATTAAAGTATTAATATATCGCGATAATGTCTGTATTAATGTTTTTTTTACAGCAGCCAGCATGTTGAATGAATTTAACAAAAGATTCGTCAATAGTCTCTTTTGTTATATCATACCATCATACCAACATGGTCGCTGTGTTCAATCTTTTGGGAATGATTGAAAACCAGCAATTAGAAGTTCTTTTTAGCGTATTATACCATAGTTATATGCATTTTCCAAGCAAAGTAAAGCAGCAAAAAGGGTTTTAATTTTCTTAGAATTGAAAACTTCTAAGTATTTTTGCATTTTCACAAGCAAAGTTTCCCCCATACCTCGTTAGGCATTGTCGGCAGGACATGTTGCAGCAACAACCCACTATCGTGAAGATTCTTCTCAAAACATCCTCTCTTTCTCTCATTCTCTTCTTCTTCTTCCTCGTCCTTACCAGAACCTTTTAATGCTACCAAAACGAAGTCTACTCTCTTCCCTTCAGCCCAGAGGTTGTTTCAGTTAATGCTACCAAAACGAAGTCTACTCTCTTCCCTTCAGCCCAGAGGTTGTTTCAGG